AACACTGCTCCCCTCAGCAGTGTATTTCAGTAGATCTGCCTGTTCTGCTCCCCACTGTCTCTGGTGAATCCTCTCACCTTCCACACCTCTGACTTATATCCCAGTTCTTGTCTGCATACATAAATATACCTTAAAAAAAATCCTGATTTAAGTAATCAAATTAATCTATTTCAGGTACAGAATGACTAGAGAAATTTAAAACACTAACTAGATGTTTGATAATATTAAGAGTTTCACTGTTACTATTTTTTGGGTGTGCTAATTTTTTGAAGGTATGTTTAAAACAAAGTCTTTATATCTTTTTGAGATGCACATTAAAAAATTATAGCTTAGGGCCTCCTTAGTGGCACAAGGGGTTAATGGGCAGCACTAAGAAGCCATCCGAAGCCACTGCAGCACGAGTTTGATCCCCAGCCTGGGAGGTGATCCACATGGCATGATCCTCTTGTCTCACCTGCTGCTCCCTTCAGCAGTATATTTCAGTATATCTGCCTGTTCTGCTCCCCACTCTGTCTCTGGTGAATCTTTTCAACCCCCTGTACTCCTGGCTTGTACTCCAGCTCTTATATGCATAAATAGATAAATCTTTGAAAAAAACATTTACAGTTAAAATAACAATGCTGGGATTTACTTCAAAATAACCTAATGGAAGAGGGAATATAGGTTTAACATGACTGCCCATGAGTTGGTGTCTGAGGCTGAATGATGCATGAAGTTAATTATATTAATACTACTCTCTGTGTGCATCTGGAATTTTCCATAATAAAGAGCTAAAAAGAGAGAAAAACAGAAATGGGCACCAGGAAGTCAAATCACAGCATCAAAGTAGTCATTCCTTTTTTCAACTTACCTGTTCTGTTCTTTCGTTTTTCTCGTTCTGCTTTTAGCTCCTCCATGGCTTGAGATTTCTTATCTAGTTTCTCATCCCGCTTGGAACGCCGTTCCTTGTTGTGGGATGTTACCTGAGAACCAACATATCGGTTGACTCTTTTTACCAGTAATTGGTAAGATTCTTTATACCCAACAATCATTCAGTTCAACAACATGAATTTATATTGGTTGTAGAAACTGAACCTTTTAATGGGAGAGAGCATCCTCTAGTGGGCAAAGAGAGATAAAAGAAAAATGTCAGCCTTGTCTTACAATTACAGAAATTTACACTTTCTAGAAGAATACCCTAGATCAGAGTTAATACTGTTATTTTCAATAAAGCTTGTTATGAATGATGACTAATTTGCCCAGCTGTATTTACTACTAAGTACAGAATGATACACACCCAGGTAAACATCATTACTAAGCTGGCTACCTGGGAAAAGATATTTACCAACTTTCCCTTTAAAGGATGCTCATATACCAATGGGATGCTTTTCAAATACAGTTTGAGTAAAGAGCTCCCAAGCAATTAAATAGCACAGTTAATGTGAAGTGATATGTCCAAAAATTAACTACTAGGTGAAAATAGCAAGTTAGTCTCACTAACTTATGCTGGTTAATACAAACCTTTATACAATCACACACACACACACAAACAGGTTTTACTCTCTGCATAATAATAAGGGCTACCGATACTCTCCTACCTGAGATTCTTGAATCTGTGTCAGCTTTTTCTTTTCCTGTTCTTCTTCTTGCTTTTTCTTTTTTTCTTTCTTTTCTTTCTTTTTGGCTGTTTTTAGTTTTTTCTTGATCTCAAATCTGGTTAAAAGATATTTGTTTGGTTTTTAAGTGGCAATGAAATATTTGTAAAGACTGGTTTCTATTAGATAGGAAAAAGGAAATAAGTAGGGGGAAGGAGTTAATAAACATTTCTGCTTCTTGCAAGAAACTCCAATGTACCTTATAAGTACATTAAACATTTAATATAAATACACTAAAAGAACTTGAAAGCATTAAGTTGGAATACACTTGCAATGAGAGAAATTATTCAAAGATATTGTTGTACTCATCTTTAGGTTTTTGATAACATACAACTCTTCTTCAATCTTCACATAATAAAACAGAATTTATTTCTGGATGAACTCCAAGTATGTTCCATTAGAAATCTAGTGAAGCCAGAGTCACTATCATATTTTACAGTTTTTTATGACAAAGGCTATATTTTACTATTTTAAAGTTAAAAGCTATATTTTAAAAGCTTTCTTTCAACACTATGTTATTTTCTTAGACTATGTTATTCTCTCAAATACATTATGAGCTTCCTTGCCATAATGAATACGAGCTTTCAAAAAAAAAAAGAAATTTGTGTGTGTTTGTGTGTGTGAATTTAAGAACTTTTTATGCAATAAAGGCATCTAATAAATTCTTCATCATAACATCCTAAAATAACTCAATTTTTACCTAATTCTTCATAAATTATTCAGTATTTTTTTATTATCTTCCTTTTACTCACTATTAAAACTGTTCACGTACTTTGATTATGTGAAAGGGAGTTACAAATTTACTGTGAAAATATTTTTGCTTTCCTAATACAAGCATTTGCTTTTTTACTTTTTATTATATATGTAACAATTATATAAATAGTAATTTATTTTATATATCTTCATTTTTTACATTTTTCCATCTCAGTTGTAATCCCCATGGACTTCCCACCACTAATTCACCCATGTGCCATCACCAACCGTCCCGTGTGCTCTTCCCACCCCAATTTTGATCCAATTCCCCTTTCCATCCCCGTAGAATGTCTGATTTACAGCTGTTTGTTGATTTTCATTTTTGCTTTATTACAATTGATTTTTGTTTTTTTTCCTGATCTCTTACACTCCTGCTATGAGTGAAACCATCTGGTATTTTTCTTTTTCTTTTTGGCTTATTTCACTGTGATCCCTTCCAGCTCCATCCATGTTGCTGCAAAAGGCATGAGTTTATCTTTTTGATTGCTGAGTAATATTCCACTATGTACATGTACCACATCTTGATCCAGTTATCTACTTTCGGGTTGATTCTGTATCTTCCCTGTTGTAAATACTGCAGCAATAAACATAGGGGTGCAGGTGTCCTTTTGAGTTAATGTTTTTGTATCTTTACCTACCTTTAGGTAGGTATCTAGGAGTGGACCCAGTACAGACATTTGTAAGGCTATACATTTTGCTGCAGGTACTGCTTTGCTGCATTGTATAGTTCCGATATTTCATTTTCATTCTGATGCATTCATTTTCACTCCTCTCCAATTATTTTCTAATTTCTTTTGTGACCTTTCCCTTTGATCTACTGGTTATTTAGGGGAGTGTGTTAATTTATTTTAAAAAGATTTATTTATTTATACATGCAAGAACTGGGGTACAGGCCAGAGGTGCAGGGGGTGAGAGGATTCACTAGACAGACTGGGGAGCAGAACAGGCAGAAAATACACTTCTGAGGGGAGCAGCAGGTGAGACAGGAGAGGTCTACTGTTCCATGTGGGTCACCTATCCACAGTGGCCACAGATCCATTCACAGTGCTGTGTTTTAACACCTTTTGCCACCAGGGAAGGTCCAGGAGTGTGCTAATTATTAATTATTTCAAGACTGAGAAAGCACAGTGTCTTCAACAAAGTGGTTGGGACAAATGGATATCTACATGCAAAAGAAGGAAGCTGGGTTCTTACTTTACATCACATATGAAAATGATGTCAAAATGAACCAATGACATAAGTTATATAACAGCTGAAATCACCAAACTCATACAAAAGCACAGGGGGTAAATCTTTATGACCTTGGATTTGGCATTAGAGTCTGAGATACGATACCAAAAGATTCATCAAGAAAAGAAAAAGTAAATTATACTTGATCAAAATTTAAAAATATTGTGTATCCGATGGAATATTATTCAGCAATCAAAAAGGGGTAAACTCATGTCTTTTGCAGCAACATGGATGGAGCTGAAGGGATCATGCTAGTGAAATAAGCCAGAAAGACAAGGAAAAATACTGGATGGTTTTACTCATAGCAGGAATATAAAGGACCAGAGGGGAAAAAATAATAACGAACAACTATATACCAGAGACATTTTAAGGGGGTGGAGTGGGGAATGGGTTAGAAAAAGGGGGGAAGTACACTGGACTATAGTAATGACACACGGGTGATTTGATGATGGGAACCCCACAGGGAATACAAATGAGATGGAAAAAAGCACAAAATGATGTAAAAATAAATTATATTAAAATTAAAAAATAAATAAATAAATTGTGTAGCAAAACTACTATTAACGAGTGTAAAAGGGCCCTCCCTGGTGGTGCAATGGGTTAAAGCACAGCACTGTGAAACTCTCCACAGCTAATGCAGCATCCCCCCTGGCCAGGGAGGTGACCCATATGGTATGAGAACTCTACTGATCCACTAAACATGATCCCTTCTAGCTCAAGCCTCTCCTCCCCTTAGTGTATTTCAGTCGATTTGCTTGTACTGATTCCCACTCTGTCTCTGGTGAAATCTCTCACCCCTGTATCTCTGGCCTGTACCATAGTTCTTGTATGCATTAATAAATCAATCTTAAAAAAAAAAGAGTAAAAAGTACAACCTATAGAAAGGGACAAATATTTGTAAATCATGTAACTGATAAAGACCCAATAACCAGAATATACATAAGAATTCTTACAACTCACCAACAAAAAGAGAATCCAGTTAAAAAGTGAGCAAAGAATTCAGACACTCTCCATGTAAAAAAATGATACTCAACATCATTAGTCATCAGGAAAATGCAACCAAAAACCATAGTGAGATACTACTTTACATCCAGGATAGCAATGATCAAAAAAGAGCAAGGATGTAAAGAAACTGGAACTCTTATACACTGCTTGTGGGGATATAAAATGGTACAGCTATGTAGGAAATAGTTTGGTGGTGTCTCAAAAAGGTAAATATAAAATTACCATGACTTAGCAGTGCAACTCCCAGAATTATGTATAAAAGCACTGAAAATAGGTAATCAACAATTTTCTGTACATGAATGTGCATAGAAGCAATACAGTAACAAAAAAGGAGGAAACAACTTATTAGGTAAGTTATCAAGAAAAGGTGATCCGAGAACTGGACCTGCACAAGTGGAGGCTCCTTACCTCAACCTCTTCTGTCCTTGAAAACTACATCCTGTCTATCGTTCCCACAGTGAGAATTGTTTTCAAGGACACACCTCTGTGTTGTTGAGGTCATTTGGACTAAATAAGTGACTAAACACATGACTAAACACAGTTAGGGCCCCTGTGTAGACTTCTAGGCTTCTGGCAGATGGACAGGGAGATCTACTCATCCATTCACATGTTAAGTTCCCTCACTTATTAAAACTGTCACCTGCCAATTTTTAATGGTCTGCCTTTCTTTTTAAATTATATACATATTTTATATATAAGGTCTGCCTCCTTCTTGGGATTCTGCTAACATCTGACTAGAAGAGCCAATTTCAGATTTCACCTTACAAGCTCTCAAGTTCTTGAACTGATGCAACTCAAATGCCAATCAGTGGATGAATTTATATATAAGATATGTTTCTGCATATAAGTAAAACAGAATATTATTTGGTCATAAAAAGGAATGCTAGATGAATGAGCTTCAAAAACATGTTAAGTGAAAGAAGTCAGTCAAAAACGACTCTATGCTGCATGATTCCACTTATAAAATGTCCAGTAACAGGCAAATCTATATATAAAGAAAGTAGATTAGTGGTTGCCTAGGGTTGGCAGACTTGGGAGGGAAACAGAGAAGTTAAATACCAATGAGTATAGAATTTCTTTCTGGGTGATGAAAATATTCTGGAATTAACTTTAGTAATGATCACACAATTCTGTAATATATAAAAACTATTGAATTACATATATACTTTAAGTGGCTAGGTTCTATGGTATATAAAATATATCTCAATCAAGTTAATTTTTGAAATTAATAATAGTTTATATTTACATAATGTCCTTTATGTTTCAATCTCACTCAAGGTTTATAAAAATCCCAAAAAGGTTCTTTAGGTAGGAAGAAGGTAAAGTAAATAATTCATATAGTTTGGCCAGTGAGTCTAAGTTGGGCCTACACATTTTAACTGAAAATGACAGTGTTTTCCACAACCAAACTACCTTTTATGCTGACAGTACTCACCCTTAAATAAACAAAAAAGAGGTGAAGACTCTTATCAGCTGAAAAATTACTAACAGTGCCACTGGCTATAAAATGTGATGCTAATGGTGTTTACATAAGATTGTTATGAAGATTAAATAAGATACATATAAGAATATATATACATTTAAGATACAAATATCTTTATTAGGTGAACATAGAGAAAATTTCTGTTACTATATTGGACTATCTTGCAACTAAACAAAAGTTTTACTGTTCTGTGAATAGCTCTGAACTTCTGTTTTATTATCACCCTAACATTCTTAAAGTGACTAACAAGAAGTCATTGAATCTCTCACCTGCTTCACTCATATAAGGGAAAAATATATAAAAACCAAGTTTGAGATAAACCACACATTACTATTGAATTACTCTGAGTTTTATCACTAGGGTCTTACAGGCCTCATAAGAGAAGCTTATTACAGCTCTCCACAGTTCAGAAATACAAATTTTAGAAATCATCCCTAATTATCTGACAACACCACCAGCACAACCCTTCAGTCTTGTTTGTTCCAATACAGGTAACCTTGGAAGCATTAACACGCAAAACAAATGTGTGTTACTTGCTGCTGACTGAAAGCCAAACATTCTTGTCTAGGATAACTCACGATACTTAATATGGTTTCCAGAAGGGACAAACAGGCTCCCAAATGAAACAAAACTCACTGCTGCTTAAAGAAAATACTTGTATTTTTCTTTTATCATATTAGGTGAGTAGGGAAAATCCTAGTACTGAGGACTACTGCATTTCCTGAGACAAAAGTGATGTTTTATTTTTACTTTGAAATTCTCAATATGAGGTAAGGAAGAACTTTTAACATTTAAATATGGGAAAAGTAACTCAGAAACTGAAACAGCTTCTGAGTATCAAAAAGCAATTTAACATTTGAATTTTTCCCTTTTTAAAAAGATTTATTTGTGCATACAGAACTTGGGTACAGGGAGAGGTTCAGGGGAGGTGAGAAGATTCACCAGAGACAGAGTGGGGAACAGAACAGGCCAACTGATGAAGCACACTGCTGAGGAGAGCAGCGGGCCAGACAGGAGAGGTCTGCTGCGCCATGTGGGTCACCTCCAGAGTGGGGACTGAACTCACACTGAAGCAGCCATGGCTTGGTCTAGCTTTGCAGTGCAGTGTTCCAACCTAATGGCGCTACCTGTAAGGGCCCTAACATTTGAATTTTTGACAAAAAACAAAAGCATGGTAGTGGTATAGTCAGATATCCAACACATGAATAATGAGAAAATTCAAGTCTTGCATTCTGAGCTCCAAATGTAAATTTTGGAAAATTATTTTATTAAGGTGCTACAAGCTTACCTTCTTTTCAACACCTCTCTCTTCTCTATACGATTGAAGAGTTCTTGCTCTCTCTCCTTCTCTGTCATCTGTTCTAGACGGGCCCTGTCTTCCTCATCTCCCATAAGGTCTTCTCCATAGCCATCATGGAACTCTTCATCTTCTGACGAAGAGTCTGAATCTGAACTGGAAGAGGAGCTGTTGCTGTCAGAATCTGACACTTCACCTGCAACAAAGCCCCAAATACCACATTAGGCTATGCTACAGAAGACAGAAGCCACGGTGAGCCAGACAGTTGGTACTCATTATCCATTGGCTCTCCTAGGTAAAGAGGCACATGGCCATCTCAAGTCTCAATTAATAGTCCTGAGTGTGCCTTTGGCAACTGCAAACATGGTTCAGGGAAATTTAGGCTGGAATAAGAAACAAGCATATTTTGTTCTTTAATTCAACATTTTTATTTTAAAAACATTGATATATGAAAGGAGTTGTTAAGACCACATCCCATAAATCTTTTTCTTTTTCTGAGTAAAAGAATTGGGGTGTAGGCAGAAGTGTGTGTGTGGGATAGAGTAAGAGAATTCACCAAAGACAGAGTGGAGAGCAGAACCAGCAAAGACTAGAGAAGTCTGTTGTGCCATATGTGGGTTAACTCCCTGGCTGGGGATTGAACTCAGGTCACAGAGGTGATAGTGCTAGGACTTATCCCCTAGGCCACCAGGAAGGCCCACATCCATCAATCTTTTAAGTACATAGCCATCATGGAACTCTTCATCATCATCCATTGTTAACATTGCCAATTTACTTTCATCTATACATTCTTTTAAAAATATTTATGTATTTATGCAGAAATGGGGCACAGCCAGAGGTGCAGGGGCAGCAAGAGGATTCAACAGAGTCAGAGTGGGGAACAGAATCGGCAGACTGGCTAAGTACACTGTTGAGGGGAGCAGCAGGTGAACAGGAGAGGTCTGCTATGCCATGTGGGTCACCTCCGGGGCAGGGCTTGAACTTGCATTGAAGACGCTACTAGTTGGGTTAGCTTCACAGTGCAGCGCTCCAACCTGCTGCACTACAGGGAGAGCCCTTGTCTAAATATTTTTAGTATTTGCTTTGTTGAATTGAGAGTAAGATATAGACACTATAGCTCTTTGTTCCTAAATACTTCAAAAAAGGACATTCTCTGAGATAACCAACTATGTAATTGTAAAATTCAAGGTCTTTAATATTGATGGCATGTCATTATCAAACATACAGTCCATACCCAAATTTTACTAGTTGTTCTCATATAGCTCTTCATAGTCACTTTTCAGCTAAAAGGGGATCCAATGTAGAATCTAGTTAGTATTCTTTAATCTTTAATAGCCTTTCTTCATTTCCTCATGTCATTAGATTGCTGAAAGGACAAAATTTGGGGTGAAAATATTCACTCTCTGAACAGTAGGCACATGTGGCTACTGAGCAACTGAAATATGGCTAGTGCAACTGAGAAACTCAATTTTTAATTTTATTTAATTTTTAATTACTTCAAATTTAGTCATAGTAATGAAATGTTCCCTAATTTAGATTGGTTGGTCTCATCAAGAAACTACTCAGGGGACTCCCTGATTACTCCCTTAAGTCTTTGTGCTAACATCCCATGGCCTGAGTTCAATCCCCAGCCAGGGAGCTGACCCACATATCACCCAGCAGACCTTTCCTGCCCCATCCCACTGCTCCCCTTCAGCAGTGTATTTTACTAAGTCCACCTATTCTGCTCCCCACTCTGTTTCTGGTGAATCCTCTCACTCTCTGAACCTCAAGCCTACACCCCGGTTCTTCTATGCAAAAATTTAAAAGAATTGGGTCCTAATTGGGGTGCAACAGATTAAAGCACAGCACTATAAAGGCCACTGCAGCACAAGCTTGATACCCTGCAAAGGAGGTGACCCACATGGCATGGCAGATCTTTCCTGACCAGCCTGCTACTCTCCTCAGCAGTGTATTTCAGTCAATCTGCCTGTTCTGCTCCTCACTCTTGTCTCTGGTGAATCCTCTCAACCCCCACACCTCTGGCCTGTACTCCAGTTCTTGTGTGCATAAATAAATAAATCTTAAAAAAAAATTTAAAAAGAAACTACTCAGATCATTAATTTTTGGCAAGAATACCCCATGAGTGAATGTGTCCTTTTCAAAGTATCACACAGGAAGTATCTGACAGTTCTATTACTAGTCATGTTAATTTGGATTACTTGTTAAGGTAGTGTCATTTTGAAAAGGCACCCTTTTTTCTATTGTCATTAGTAAGTATTAGTATAGGAAGATGCTTTGAGACTGTGTAAAGATCTTGTTCCCCAACAAGCTCTCAGTGTTCTTAGCATTTGTTGATAATTCTTGAGTAAATCAATTTTTACTTGATGGTTGCAAAATGGTGATTTTTAAACTATTACTTATTCTACAGTTATGAGTTCACATTTAAAAACCAATGTTTAGATGAGTCATTAAATTGATGAGTTAATTCCTAATGAAACTGAATCTTGCTAGGAAAAAGAGTAGCATGGAAAAAAGTGAGGATATATAACAAGTGAGTACTAATCTAAAGTAGCAATTTAGTAAGAATGGTGTTTGACTCAATTTGACCTAACACTCATACGTGACTGATTAAAATGTCAGGTTAGGATGATCTCATATAAGCCAGTTTGCATATGTTATTTATTTATTTATTCTTAAATGCAAAGTTGATCAAGTTATAGAACAAGTTTATGTTCAAACTAGTACTAGCAAAAATTCTGGAATTACTTTCAAAACAAGAACATTTTTTTTTTTAACTGAGTTTTGTATCTGCTGCAAGTATTTTCCTCCTTGTTACATACACCATGATGCATAACCAAGAAAAAAAGAGAAGGCATTCAGAGTAAAGTGAATTGAGACTCTTCCATGAGGACTCATGGTTTCCTAGGTGGATTTCAGGGGCCCCCACTAACCCTTCAGAACTGACTTTTTCCATTTAGATTCTCAAAGGATCCATGGGCACTGAAAAGGTTAAAGATCATTGCAATGTAGGCAAAGGTCACGCTGAAATGCAGGCACCTTTGTCCTCCATTTCTGATTCTGCAGCTTCAACCTGACAAGAGTACTTCACTCTTAGCAGCTTAGCTCACCTTCCTCAGGGGCTGAGCTCTCAGCTGAGCTGTCTTTATCAGAACTGCCTGAAGAAGCAGTTTTGTTGGTCTGTTTCTTCATAGTTCCTTTCTTCTCTATTTTCCTTGCCTTTCCTTTCTTCTTATTTTTATTGTTCCCAAATGTCCACTGTAAGAGAAAAAAGGAAAAATTGAAACATCCATTTTATTGGGAAAAGCTGGAGACCTAAGAACTAAAAAGACTCTCATTCACCAAAATGATTAGGATAACCTCTATTACTTTGAATCCAAAACAAATAGACTTTATATGAAGAAAAACATGGATTTTTAAAACTTCAATTAAAACCCCATCATTTCTGAAACCTGTGGGGATTACAATTGAGATGGAAAAAAAAAAAGTACAAAATGATGTAAAAATAAACGGTTGTAAAATAAAAAAAAAAAAACCATCATTTCTGTTTGTAATTTCTTAGTGATATACTAACCAGATAATTGATATACTAAACATAAAATGTAATTAATGCACTTTTTATTACATCAGAAAAAGATATCAACTTGATGGCAAGTTTAACCTGAGTTAACTATCTATAAAACACAATTGGTAGAGAAAACTGCTTCTAATGTTCCCTGTGGCAGAGAGGGCAGAAATTGCTAAGGGCTGATATGTCTGGGTTTCAGCACATTGATGATGATTTAGTTCTAGAGTGGGCCCCATGAAGGCAAAGACTAAAGGTTGTTAGCAGGAGAAAACTGCAAGAGCACAGGAACAAAGGATGAGGGCCACTCCTGGACAGTAGCACTGGTACCAAAAAGGTGGCAGAAAAGTAATGGAGATCATTAAATTTTTATCTGTGTGAGCTTTTTCCAAAAAATCTGCATGTAGTAATTACACTACAACATAATGTTTAAGTTGGATCATACACCCAAGATTCTATACATCTAAACACAAGGAATCTGAAATTTGCATTGTCAAAGTACTAGGCCAGCAATATACAGTTAATCACCCCAAGAATAAAAAATAGCTTCATTGAGCACTTTAAATATAAGGCTTTTCAAAAATTCACAAGACTAGTTAAATTAAACAGTACCTCTTGTGATATTTTAACAAGTTAGGAATGATTTTAGGTGAAAAATACTTTATATGGGAACTGTACTCTATCATAAAGAATAATCTGCACATGGATGAAAAATTGCAAATCATATGATAAAGGTCTAGCATCCAAAATATATAAAGAATTCTTATAACTCAATAATAAATAAAAAGATAACACATAAAAATAGGCAAAGGATATGAATAGCATTTTCTCCAAAGAAAACATATAAGTATACTGTTAAGATGTAATATGATAGGTAAATGAGCATTTAAACCACAACAGATACAAATTCAGACCTTCTAGAATGGTTATACTTGAAAAAACAGAAAATAACAAGTGTTGACTAGGATGCAGAGGAATTGGAACCTTCATACATTGTCTGTGGGGATGAAAAGTGGGTTGGCTACTTTGGAAAATAGTTTGGCAGTTCCTCAAAAAGTCAAACACCATTACCATATGGCCCAGTAATTCCACTCCTAAGTATGTAGCAAACAGAAATGAAAACTTAATCCACACAAAAGCTTGTACATGACATTCAAAGTAGTTAACAAGGTAAATGTCCATTTACTGGGAAAAAAAATTTTTTTCGCCTTTCCAGCATTACAAAGTATACAATGTAAAATTTCTACATCTAATATTTAACAAAAGCACAAAGTTTTTGCTCCTTCTATAATGTGATTGTATATGTACCTCCAACCTTACAATAGCTATATACAGAAGCTTATTTTTTGGGAAGTAAGAAGGTGTAGGGGTAGTTCTGAAAAAGTTTTCCATCTCAGAAATTTTCCAGATGAGCTATTCTTGAGAACCACAGAATCTGCTAGTTTACCTGGATAAAATATGAAAGGGTATAACTTTAATCTTGTGATTTCTGAATTTTTTTTTTTTAGTTATTAATTGCTATTTTATCATTGTAGCCGGAGGAAGGAAGACGAGACAAGCAGAAATAAGGTCACATGTTCAAGAATGATATATTACATGAATGAACAGCAATTTCACTTTATAAGTGAATTTACTTCTCAAACTTTCAACACTAACATCACTAGAAGAAATTATAAAATTTTTCTTCTAAAACACAGCTTGTAACCATTTCAAATTTTAATTATCCGAGAAAGATGACTTTTAGGTCAATTTAAAAGAGTTAAAAAGAGGTTAAAATGTTCAATTTCTTAGTTCACTGAACAAAAATACCTCAACTTTTCTATGCTGATAACACAAATACTATAGAGGCAATAATACAGAAGACATCTTTAAGCATTGGTTTTAGCTATGAGAAATAACACTACACACATACTAGAGAATCAATATTTATTAGCTGGTTGTGAAATGACCAGAATGGGAATGACCCACTGTTAGCAAACAGGATTATCTTGGCTCTTGTACTTCTATAGGAGGTAAGAAAGAAGAGGCTAAGAGTGTAAAGGTCATGCTACCACGCCACTTGTGTATTAGGATGGCTAGGTTCTACTTTTGCCTACAGATTCAGGTTTTTTTTGCGTGCAACAGAGCCAATTTTTTTTTCCCCTATGGAAAAAAGGATTATTGAGAGCAAAAAGAGCTAAATGTGAAATTGCACAGGTGAATCCAATTCAGAAGATACTAGTGAACTAGTATCTTTTATCTGCTTCAATCTGCCACTACTTGCGCTTAGCAACTCTCTCATTTGTATTTGATGATGTTTATCCCTTGGGAGGATTGGCAGGAAATATAAGAGTGAAAGTAGAATAAAATGTTTGAGTTTAAAAGTGTTCTCTCGGCTAAACCCGAATGTGTGGAGGAAACCTTATTTTTCCCCCTCTAGCAATGTTCAATAGAAATGAAACAACAAAACTATCTTATCTCTCGTGAGGCTAATTCAATAGGGTCTGTTGTGCCAAAGGCAAACAACCAATAGCTAACTATATGTGACAGGGTTTAGGGGACTCATAGGTGATTTTCTTTCATTTATTTATTTTTAAAAAAGATTTATTTATGCATATAAGAACTGAGGTACAGACCAGAGGTGTGGGGGAGTGAGAGGATTCCTCAGAGACAGAGTGGGGAGCAGAACAGTCAGATTAACTGAGATACACTGCTGAGGGAAGCAGTGGGAGGGTCAGGAAAGGTCTGCCATGCCATGTGGGTCACCTCCCTGCCCAGGGATTGAACTCATTCTTCAGTGTCTGTGGACAGCTTTTTAGTGCTATTCTTTAACCCTTTGTGTCACGAGGGAAGTGTCCCTTAAAACTTTTTTTCCCTAGAAAATAGATCACACTTACAATATTTTCTATTTACCCCTATAAACCAGAGGTTCCTTTTGGGTCTAAACAAGTATTTTAAATATTTGTCCAGTACCTTTTCCTCCAAGAACACGGATGCTAGTAATCCATAAAGGTGATGACTTATCGTAGGCAAAAATCAATATAGCAACTATCTTAATCTAGCCACTAGCTCAGCGATTGTTCAACTGTCCCTGCAAAAGCTTTACAGAGTTGACACAAAACAGAGATGAATTCTTTCATCATGACAGTATGGTAATAAATGGAACCTAAAGAGTAAAGGACAGAATTAAAGGGGATCTTTGGGTTTTGTCTATCTAGCAGAGTAAAGAAAATGACCTGGGATTTCTTGATTTGTTTTGGAAACTACGAAGTTCCATTGTGACATTAAAGGTGCCCTAAAGCATACCACACAAAAGGCAAAAATGAGAAAATGAGTGCCTGCTGACAAGTAACCAAGTACGGAAGTCAGAGCATCCACTCATGAGAATTGCTCAAAACAATCTGGAAATGAAACAAACTCCACTGTCAGTCAAGACACACACATCCTGACATCCTACTTTTTTAGCACTCTATGTATTCAGGGCTACATAAAATACAAAGTGTTATGTAGGTATGCTGAAAAAAAAAAAAAAACCACCCTAAAACAGAGATTGGAAGGAAGATGTCTTCTTAAATAATAAATTAAGAGAGATTAGCAGTTTGACCATGATGTAACACATACTCCAATGGACAGCAATTATCAAATGAAGGAAGGAGGATTAGTAGTACATAACTTGTGCCACCCTGAATGTATGTGGAGTATATGAGCAGGTTCCCACTCTTAGAAGCAACTAACCTTCCTGGGACTATCAGCTTAAAGATAGGAAGAAACACGGGTGAGGTGTGCTGGCTTTGGATTTAGCTGGCATTGAGTTGCTGAGCATTTGAGCATCCTGGAAGCAGAAAAGCAAAGAAATGTCAAGATTTCAGAGTGGACATATCCAAAAGGGAAAGAGAACATATTTCTAGGTCTCAGGACCTAACACTGAAACTGATCCAGCCTAGTTATCCGGAAATGATTATAAGTGAAATGAAATACTTTTAAGAAAAACAGGGTGCAAGGAGAACAAATGGGCTAGCCACAAACTACGCTGGGGTGAAGAATCAAAAGGATTAGAATACACTCTCCACCCTAACCTGAGACCATTTCCTTATCCACAAAGTAGGAATAGTACTTGACCGGCTATCAGGATAGTGTGAGATTCAAATGAGAAAGAATAAAAGAAGTTTAGAGCATATCAGAAAATATAAAGTACTATTTATATTTGCAGGATACTATTTTATGATTATAAAAGGAAATACAGAATTTCTGTGAGTCACTATTTTCTCATCTGAAACAAGGGAGTTCAGATTCTCTCTAAATCTTGGCGTTTTAAAGTTGAATACTATATGAGATGTGTTTTATGCTAAGTCAAAGCAATGAGCAAAGAGCTCCGTAAGCATCACTTTATATCTTGGCAGTAGCCAGCAAAGTGATACAGGAGAAGAGCAATGAACCACAATTTACATGTTTTTTACCCCTAACGGTAGAAAATGGTCAGAGGAGTTGAGAGTTACAAGAGATTAAAAACACAGATAGAGATTTAATGTCAACCTAGAGAAATGAAGAATAACTTTGCTTTTTTGCCTCTCAACTATATAGTTATTTATAGTATGAAAGACACTACTATGTTTTATTTTTTGATAGGTTAGAAAAGCAGCTTTATTATAGTACAAAGTATACACTCAGGAATGAGTGTGGGCAGATTTAGAGAAGAATCATGCAACTAATATAT